TCCGGGGAGCTCAAGCTTACCACCATTTCAGAATTCCGACGTTTAAAGGAATGTGTGTGTGTCTATATATATATATATGCGGCAGGACACGTGCTCTCTTTGGGAGTGCTGATAGTTTGATCTTGGGTTTGAAACCAAAACAAACCCCTGCAAGGTAATGTCAGAGGTTCATTTGTTAGCTCTGAACAATGAAATCGTTTATCAGTTTTTGCGGGCGCGGCCCGTCGTCCCGAAAGGGCTTTCCATGAGCTTTTAGTCTCGAGTGTTCAGGTTTACTGATTAAATAGCTGCGTGATGTTAAGGGTGGCATGGGAGGGTTCCCACGCTTCCATAATCTCATCCCCAATACCTCCTGCCCTAACCTTTAAAATGAATTCTTCAGAGGAGCGGTTTGCACAGCCCAATAAGGGAGATAATAAGAAACTAAAATGCTACATTTTTTTACTACAATTCGTGGCTTTCCACGAGGTTTTACTCCACAGATGGCGCTACAGTTTTTAGTTCATATTTTCTTGTTAACTCGCACTGAATTAGCTTCGTCTCAAGTGATTAAAATTTTGTTCCCCATTTATCCAAAGTATTATAAACTTCTTTATGCATAACCACATGTGACATTCCTATTCTCATGAATGAAAATTATCTACTACAAAATGTAATTCCATTGCAACCGTTCTTCAATAATCCTTTCATAAATTGAACTCTGCTTCACATTGAATTATCTCATTACAATACCCTTCAGTGTCTCCATTTTCTAGCAATTTCACACGAAAGTGCTTCAATTTCTTCCTCAACAGAATTGCTTCATACGTCCGTCCCTTCTTACATGCTAATACCAAATTCACAATATATTAATATACTTATACTTACCCTTCTCGGCACTTTCGCCGCCTACACTTCTGAGCATGTCCATTTGTATCTCACACCTGCCATACCACTAACATATTTCCACAACACTTCGCACTCCAAAATTTCGCTGTAATTTGACCAAGCTTCAGCACTTCACATAAATTCCGACTGCAGTGCCTGTTTGCATCCCAACCTACACCCGTTTTTATCCCCTTCCGGTGGAATCCTGTACGCGCTTACTGCGATGAAAAACACTTCCTACAAAAATTGCAGTCCATGGAGCGACTTTTCTACCATTTGTGACACACCATCAAAACCTACCACTTACTCATCCAGAACCTACATGTGACAACAGCAGACACTCCAGGATTGCCAGGCTATGGAGGTATCCTAAGCATTTTCACCAAGTGCATAATGTCCAGGTACTATGCAACTTTGTATTTCATATATAACGGTTCTTCCCATATTCCCCCTTAGCGAACCCTGATAAATCCTGCTTCACTAAAGACCATCATGGACTTCTCACGTCATAAATCATTTCCTGCCAACAGTATCTTGGGAGCATGTACCATATGCAACCGGTCTTTGCCTCAAAAGGGGGGGATTATTTTCTGAATCCCTCCCCCTCCAGATATAACAACTGATTATAGCTTCCATATAGTTTTCTTTTGACCCAAAAATATTTCCCAAAACTTCCCCTTTCCAAAGGAGCTGTTGCAAGAGAAAAATGACCTCTATAACCTCCTCCTATCCATCATTTATGAAGAGCCCAATAATTTTAGCCCTTCTTTTTAAATTAAAACATTTTTAATTCCTGTTTCTTCAAAAATTAACCTCATTATATGAATTTTTTCTGCTTCTCTCGATGTTTGTCAGAGACAGTCTGCACATTACTTGCAGTCAGCTTCTTTCTCCTTATTCTACAGTGGTTTCCATTTGTATGACTTTCACATATCCTTCTCATCTTCTTTCCATTACTCATTATAACTTTAACTCTGAACTTCCTGTTGCATTATTCTACCTTGCTCTTCATTCTCCTCTTGCAATTTGTTTCACTTTCCACACATACCAATCACATTTCATTTCTCATTCAAATCACCTTGGCCATTCTGTCATTTCAAAGTTCACTATCTACCTTACAAACACTTGTGCAGCAAGACTCACACCAGATTCACTTCCCCTCACCATCTGATGATTACTACCGGCCATATTCATTTCAATATCCCATAGTAATGACTTGCAACCATGAATCACTAAATCTGTCTACACATTCATATTATGTCTCTTAACTTTAGCTAAGCAACTAGTATGATACTGGAGGATAAATATAGGATAAGTGACCCATATAGAATGTATTGGCCATTGCTAGGGATAGGCATCCACAAACAAAAAAATCACATTCAAAGAGAAGACTCTTGTATTGCTTACAAACACTGCACAGACAAATTAATACATGTCACAATTCAATACAATACATTGCCATCAATACATGATCTTTAAATTACCGACCGTACAACAAAACATTTAAACAATATGCTTCTACACAAGCCTTCTAGCCTGAGTTCAACATTCACACAGATCAAGAACCTCACACACAACATGGCAACATTCCTGAAAACTAACCAGCCCTTCAACAGGATGGCATGCCGAAAAGTAACACTTCTTTTCTTTTACCAAACAGATTAATTCAATTACATTTTCCTCCACTGATGTTCATCTTCATAGTACTGCCTCTAGACATCCCTCAATTACAGCTGTAAAATTGTTGCAGTGTACAGAGATGTGAGTGCAATACAGTCTGTCCAGTTATCTACATCTTCACTGCGCAAATCTTTCCACTTGTCAACATTCACCGGCGATCATCACCACCACCATCTTCACCATCATCCCCTCCACATTGACTTCCACCACCTCCATCACCACACCCACCACTATCACCACCACATATCATATGAAGTCAAGATGGTGGTAGAGATGTCCTTCCATCCACAATATGCAGACAACTGATTTAATGCACATTTCCAAATACCCCAGCACTCATAAAACTCTATTGACTGCTGGTGATCATGTTCACAATTGTGTACAATAGCACCATACATTAAAAAATTACCCATTTTTGTTTCAATAAAATACCAATTACATTTCTTTTTCTTTTCAGTACTTCTCTTGTTTTATCACCCACCTACGGTATTAGCATATATTTCTGTAACAGGGTGAACACCACTTCCTATCTTATTATAGGACTGAAATCCATCACATTTTTCTCAACTGAAACACCACCAATATTAAGAATCCTTCCTCTGGATATGCAAAATTCATACTGACACAATTCGTCCAATCAGCTCCCAATGAATGACACATATTCAAATACAATAAAGATGTAACAATATACCAATATAAAAAAATATACACATCTTGATGGAAAATACTCTGATAACTCATATCCTCAGAAACTGCATTCACACCATAAGTATAAATATTACATGATACTCTCAACATTAACAGAAACTGGTAACATGCAGTTCATTGATACACAATCCACATGCTCCACATGCCACTGAGGCAGCAAGTAGAACAGAAATTCATGCAATTATAACAGTAATCAATCAGTGAACTCTCCTGGCCTTAACACAAATCAATTCTGTACATAAATATGTGGAACATTCTTTTCGTAACTTCATAACTGACAAATTGACAATGAGTATGAGAATGTCTCATTATGTCATTTGGTGACGAACATATTTCTGTCTACAGGTATGTTGAAACATTTTCCAAACAGCAATAACAAAATTAGAATTCACATACAAGTATATAGCACTTTATAAGACCTATAAAAAAATGATAGCCAGCTGCACATACATCAAAACAAGCAATACAATCTCAAGTACAAGTTTTGGCATTACAACCCCTCCTTCACCACAGTACTAATCACCATAAGATGTCCTTATCAGTATCCACACAACCTCATAACTGGTGCAAAGACATCTTTTTCCAACATGTCAGGTCTATATCCAATCTGTTCTCCTAAAATGTGACAACTTCTAGTACATTACACTGACCTTGACTCTAGCAAAAGAAATGCTCACTATGTTACTCCTATGGATGGTGAGGTATAGTGCAGAGTGAACCTCATACAAACCAATAAGCTAAATTCATAAAGCTTATGGCAGTAAGTATACACACCTTGACCCTCTCTGTTCTATGGACATACATGTGTGTTCCTTGACATGTTAGCTCAGGGTTAGTTTTGTTAGTTTCTGTTAGAAGTTAGATTAGGGAGGTTACATTAAGTTAGAGTACATTCTGTTATAAGTTAGCTAGGTTAAGTTACAGGTGTACATATATGTCCTTTAAGCCGTATTTTGTCTCAAGCTGCCCGAAAACTTGGCCCACACAGGGTTAATGGTATATACTTCTGCCCTCAATACCGACATATTGCATTAGGCTGAAATCAGTTTCTTCCTCTGCCCTNTGCCCTCTAAATGACCCCCCCCCCGACTCCTGTACCAATTTTTCTTTTGGAGAAAATAAATCTAAATTTCTTACATATAATTCTTACACAGGTCATTCATTTAGACCAACTCACACTTCAAGCATCTTATTAATGATACATAAATGGATATTAATCTATATCTATCAGACATACATTTCTAAGGCTAGTTGCAAGTCCAGTAACTTGTGGCAGAGAACGATGTGGTAGTTTACCCATTGCACTGTCTGTAGCGCTGGCAGATGAACCTCTTACACAAATGCTGCACTTATTCCAGTGCTGGAAATCCTCATCCAGACTTCCCATGACATATGACTGTCAACAGGGACGCATGTTTCTGTGATTGGTGATGGTTACAATGGCATACAGATGCAGGTCTGCATACAGTGAATCTCCTATTCAAGGTCTTGTTGCCAAAAAGTGGATTCTTGTATGCATGTAATTTAACAGTGAGGTTACTGACACCTCACCAAAACCGAATGTTACCTGAGGTTAATCTCACATCAAACAGAACTGATGAGGGTTTCACTGTATTCAGTTCCCTGCACATTGTTCCCTCTCAGGTCTTGGATCATCTCTTTATAAGCCTGCTGAAAAGGAGTCATCTTCCCCCTTCAGTTTCTATTAATTCTGCAAGATCTTGCTGTGCATATGTCCAATGAACATAGAAGACCACCAATCACTTCAGCTCCTCATGGATGTGGAGAGACAGCTCATTTTCAAACAAGACTTCTCTGCACCATCTCGCCACAGTCTACAACAAACAGTAAAATTACTTGGTAAAAGCTAATATATGTTAATGTAATACAGTGTCACTATTATATTTAAGATATTATCAATCTCCACACAGCATAATACTCATTTGCACAGTTACTCACATAGGTCAGGAACTGGGTTTTTTAAATGTTTCAATGAATATGCTGTTATAAATTTATCACCCGATAATCCATCAGCATCATGATATTCCTTCCAGACCCAAAGGAATGACACACACCAGCCCTGTGAACACACAAAGTAACAGTTCAATAAAGGCCACCAATTTTATCTTCATTTGGACCAGAATACTGACACATACATTAGAATTCTGAATGCACATGGCAAAACATTACCATCCCATTAAAATCTTTCATCTCCCAGCAAAATATGTTTCATACAACACTATAGAAAAGACATGAATAATACTAACCAAAATTATTAACCACAAATAATGGATGATGAACGGCCTGAACTTTAACTTGCGCCTGTTCCATTTGCTAGCGCCACCATGTGATCATGTGATGCAAAGTCCATAAAGTGAACTGCCTCTTCCAAAAGTTGCACACATCTCACTGCTTCACTCCTTCTTCGGTTTACAACCCTTTCCGCAAATCTGTCACTCTAAATGCAATTACTTCAGTTTCTACACATGCAGAAACAAGCCTCCTCATTGCACTGTTCAGGTGGAATCCTTCACCATATGTTAGATTCACAATATCTACACTAAGAACACATACATTTTATCACTTTGTATGTCACTAGTAGCACAAACTCTCACATCTATTCCCAGACAGTTTGCAAGCTCACAGTGGAGTCTTCTGGGTTGTGACACTGTCTACTCATGTAGGTAGGTATGTAGCTTTCGGAGGAACATGGTTATCTCCACAGGTGTGGTACAATTCTTAGTATTTGTCTGCATGCATGAATTGCTTTCTGCTGCAAGACTTGCGCAAAGCCATCATTTCCTTCCACAGTTTCTCCCCTTTACACATCACACCGGCCAATGCCCTCTTCCTGAAGCTCACCATTTAACCTTTCTTCATGTGGGCCACTGGACAGTCTGCCTTGCTCATGTTGCCTGTTAAGAATAAGAGGTCACACCAATCATAATGACTACTTACAATTACTTCTTCTACGTAAACTACATATATCATTGTACTCCAATGTGCATTACCTGATTTAACATCTCCGAATTTATACTTCCAACAATGTGTTAACATGATTGGAAGGAATGAAGGCTCATCAACACTGATGTTGCCCATAAGAATAAGAGGTCACATCAATCATAATGACAACTTACAATGACTTGTTCTACATACAATATTGTACCTTACCTCATGTGATATCTCCAAATTCATGCTCCCAACAATGTGTTAACCTGTCTGGAAGAAATTAAAGCTCATCAACACTGATGTTCCCTGTAAGAATAAAAGGTCACAGCAATCATAATGACAGCTTACAATGACTTGTTCTACATACAACACTGTACACTACCTGATGTGAAATCTCCGAATTCATGCTTCCAACAATGTGTTAACCTGACTGGGAGATATGAAAGCTCATCAACACTGATGTTCCCTGTGAGAATAACAGGTCACACCAATCATGACAACTTACAATTACTTGTTCTACATGCAACAGTGTACACTACCTGGTGCAAAATCTCCAAATTCATGCCTCCAACATTGTGTTAATCTGACTGGGAGAAATGAAGTGTCATCAACAGTGATCCTGCCTGTAAGAATAAGAGGTCACATCAATTATAATGTCAGCTCACAAAGTGTTGTTCTACACACAATGTTGTACATTACCTGACATGAAATCACTGGATTTTTTTTTCCGAGGATTGTATTACCCTGAGTAGGAGAATTGTAGGTTCACAAACACTGATGTTGCCTCTAAAAGAAAAAGATCATACCAACATTAATAACTCCTTATAAAGGACATATGAAATTTCTAATTTCTTGGTTTCAACATATGAATATACTGACTAGCTGCAATTCAGTTATGAACTAATCTTTTCATGCAAATAAGTTGTACCTACATTCCTGAAAGCTTATAATGATTTTTTTCAACTGACCACACTGTACTCTACCTGAATCAAAAATTTCCGAATGCTTTTTTTTTCATATATATTTTAGCCTGTGTAGCAGCAATGAAGACTCATTAACACAGTTGCTCCATGTAAAATAAGAAGTGGTATCAGCTTTATGACAGCTCATAAGGAAGGATGCCTTATTTGACCTCACTGTACAGGGGTCTCCAAACTTTTCAAAACGCAGGCCACATTAGGTAATTCAGCACATTCAATGGGCCGGATAGAATGAGAAATTAATAACTCTAGGTATATGAGTTTTATTGAAAGCACGGAATTTCATAAACTAAATACAGAGTACGTGAGAATAAATTATCGTATATTAATGACAACAGACAGTAGCAGCAAATGCTCATATTTTCATCACAAATTATAATAAAACAATTAATGTGAATGATGGAACTCTTTTTGCATTCTTAAAATCTGATTAAGTTGAGGTTCAAATTTTGAAAAGCTGATCACAAGTAGCGACTTTAAATGTTCATCGGATAAATTTGCCCTGTATTTCGATTTGATGTACTTCATCTGGGAAAATGTTTGTTCACACAGATATGTCGTCCCAAAAATGGAGATAAATTTACAAGCAAATTTCTTTAAATTTGGAAATTGCTCTGAGTTCAGAAATTTATAAAATTCGATCAAATTTCCTTCCTTGTATTTGTCTTCAATATGATAATTTTCCTGAAGTTCAATAATTTCCATTTGACTTTGACTTGGGACATCTGCAGCATCACAGTCAAACGGATTTTGAAACAATCTAATTTCCTGAGCACTGAAATCCAAGTCAGCAAATCACTTCCGAAACTGTTCTTTCAAATCTGAAATGACTAAATTTGCAAACGAGGAAGGAAATTCTGCTCGCGCTACCTACAATGCCACGAAGTGACACTGCCGATCGAGGCCGAACAAGTACGAAGAAATAGCGCGCAGTATACAGTCCAGAATTAGTAAAATTGTGAATAATATTAATATTAACATAATATGGAATATCAACATATTTTAAACACAATCTTAATTAATGAATCTGAAATCTATGAACAAGTATTTTTTTACCAGTACTCATTGGAAAATTAGTTCAATTGGCGCACTTCTGCGCAATTCTTTCGCGGGCCGGATAAAATCACATCGCGGGCCGTAGTTTGGAGGCCCTTGCACTAGAGGAACAAACATCTTTATAGAAGACCAAGAGCCGTATTACACGCTAGCATGAATGTTTTTAAATATGAAAATAAAAAAGATACTAAGTATATGCTTATACTATATTATACTATACTATATGTACGTTGAGAGAAAAATCATATCTGATAATTAATCCTGTGATATTATTAAGTTTGCTATTTAACGACACTGTCAGTACGGACAGTATACAACGTTGATAAGAGGATGATTAATGAACATGGAACATTTGGTGAAATGAGAATTAGCATTACTCTTGAGAAAACACGCTCCGCTCTCACTTCTCCTTGAATCCACACGATCTGACCTGCGATCGGGAAGATGAGGCGAAGTTCAAATATTTCTGGAAGACACTAACAAATCCAAACTGTATTCATGACAACGTCAAGGTAAGGTAAAAAGGTAACAGTTGTCCCTGTGCTCAGCAAATTCAAGCTCTACGCCATGAAGGTGTATGGGGGAGTTGATGTATAGATCCACATTTTCTTGATCTCAGCACTAGCTAGAGGTTGAATGGTCAGCTTCAAGACCTGGCCGCTTCACCCCCGAAAAAGACGGTAAGGTAAGATAAAAAAGTAAAGTTGTCCCTGTGCTCAACAAATTTAAGCACTACGCCATGAAGGCGTATGGGGCAGTGGATGTATAGATCCACATCTTCTTGACCTCGGCACTAGATGGAGGTAAGTGGTCTGCTTCATGCCCCGGCCGCTTTAACCCCGAGGAAAACGGCCCCGGTGCCTATTGGATAGGAGGTTGGGTGAACATCAGGGCCGGTCTGGGCGATTTAAAGAGAAGAGAAAATTCTTGACACTACAGGGTCTCGAACTCCGACCCCTCGGTCGTCCAGCCCGTAGTCACTCCCTATACCGACTATGCTACCCCGCGGGAAATATCTGTTATCATTTCGTTCAGAATGTTTCATTTCCTTGATTGCTACTTAAGGTGTAAAACATAAAGAATTGCAATTTTGTGTGTAGCCCAGTAAGAATGTGTAACCTGATCTTTCACGTTGTGGGAAGAGCATAAATGAGGGCATTTGAGAACAGCGGCTGAGGCGAATATATGGGCCATGGGCCAACTCCGACCCCTCGGTCGTCCAGCCCGCAGCCAGTCGCTATCCCGGCCCTGTTGTAGCTAGTAGTGCATACAAAAATTTCGATAGGAAAATCAAAGGAAAGAGACCACTAGGAAGACTTGGGTTTATATAGAATGATAATATTAAAATGTATATTGAGTAAATGAGATGAAAAGTTAGGGATATGATACACCTGGCTCCAGATTGGGACCACTGGAGGGGGTAATGAACCGTCTGGTTCTGAAATATGCTGCAGTTTGTGTACCTGAGCTCAACTATTGGCCTATCACGGAAGATTCAGCTCCACGGCTTCAATTCATGAGCCCGTTTCTATCAATCTGAAACTGAGTGCTGGATATATTTAGACCTACATCCCAGATATTTCTTCTACAGGTGTATTACACAATGCCGCTGTTAATGATAAAATGTTTCCATATAACACTTCAAATAAGGGACATTTCTAAAGTCCTTGGTTCGAAACATGCGGTGCCATACATGAAAGCAAGTCTCATAAATCCACGATTCCCAGAGTTACATTTGCACACTGCAACAATCTGGAAGAAAACCTGTATCCGCAGATGAGCCGTAACTGAACAAAGCGAAACCTGACATCTGCGTAGGGCAGACTATATGCCATAATTATGTAGAACACATCCTCTAAACCAGGCATGCCCAACGCGTCGACTGCGATCGACCGGTCGATCGCGGGACGACTTTTGATCAATCTCATGGGCCTATAAGGAAATTATACGTGAAAAGCATGTAAATTTACTTGTAATATAATATGATTATATTCAGATTTTGAAGGGAAAATACATGTTAAAGTAGTCTGTACCTTCAATGTATGTTGCTTTTACAACAAATGTCATGTGTCGTGTTATTTTTACCAATATTTTTGCTTAAAGCGAGGTATGGCGATAGGAGGGGGTGGTAGATCACTGGCAATTTTTACGCTAAAAAGTCGATCACAACCTGTTTGAAGTTGGACGTACCTGCTCTGAACTATCTTTAAGTAATTTTCTTATATTTGTTCAATGCTTCCATTATCCTTATTTTATGTATTATACATGATAATCCAATGGGAGAGAAGAGGAATGCATGTAAGATATTGGTGGGAAAGCCAGAAGGAAAGAGACCACAGGGAAGACCAAGGCGTAGGTGGGTGGACAATATTAAAATGGATCTTAGAGAGATGGGATGGATTGGATTGATCTGGCTCAGGATAGGGACCAGTGGAGTGCTCTTGTGAACACGGTAATGAACCTTCGGGTTCCATAAAATGCTGGGAAATTCTTGAGTAGCTGCAGATTTGGCTTCTCCTCAAGAAGGGCTCAGCTCCATAAGGAAGTAATAGGAAAATCCAAATTATTGGTGTAGTCTAACACAATGCAATTGGTTTTTAATTCAATGTCCGAGCGAATAAAATCATCGCGTTTGCACAATTTCTAATCGTTCCTTTTTTTTATACAGAAATATGAAACTTCCTCCATGTGAATAACATTCATCAAATGAGAGGTTTACTAGTGTGGCCATGAGGTTGTTCGGAAGGAAGTCATAAAAGCGAAACGAATCTGTAGGATTCTAACAGGTCCTGCCATGTTGAGTCGCATGAATACGAAGACGTGGCATATAGACCGATGTCCCTGTGAGAAGTAAAATAGGACAACTGCTTTATATTTCCAAATTCTCTTCTTATGAAAAGAATTAACGTCATCAATGATCATTATATCTTACAATTACCGTATTTACGCATGTATAGGCCGCACATTTTTTGCCAAAAATTCAAGAGGAAAACTGGGGTGCGGCTTATATTCGAAATATTCGAAATCACACTTCATTTAAAAAATATATATATATTCATAATTAGTAATACAGGGTGTAATACTCCTGAAATAATATTCCAAGAAAATTATTTTTTCTATAATTTGTCTGAAAATTGTGCTGCGGCATATACATGCGTAAATACGGTATTTAAACATTGTATCTGAATTGAGCCCGGAGGGTTTGGGGGAGTGAGATAACCGAGCTTGGAAAAAGAAAAGGAAATATATCGATTATTATTAGCGAAAAGAGTGATCCCGTAATGATATTCTTAAATGGCTTCAACTCTGTAAGCAAATTCTCTGGCTGCATATGTTCACATATCTGAACATCAGTCCGCTTATCCTAGAAATCAAAATGGCTACAAGATAAAACGAATTTACAATATCTTCCCAATTTGGTTTTCGATGTAAGTAATAGGTATATATGAGATACCACAAATTAATTTGATTGGTCTCATTCTGGTCCGTCACACTATCAATTACAGAGTGGGTAATGTTCAGTCTAATGTGACATACAAATTCACAACACTTCAAATCTCGTTCACCTTACATGTTTCGATTCAAAAGAATCATCTTCAGAGGCGCACCACTACGATAAGGAAACACTGTCACATAACACATTTTAAACCATATGCATTTAAGCTATGAATAATGCTCACTATATAAATGTTGATATTATCGTGATTAGTATTGATGTTTGTCTTAGGCACTCACAATGGCTCTTCTTGAAGTGTAGATTTACTTATGATGACGTTTCTTTTAAGTGTAATTGCTGGTTATTCTGACTGGGGTTTTGCACTACACGCAATATGAAATTCACTTTCCCATACAGTTGTCTCAAATGCGTTTAAAATTGTATTAAATTTTCTATGTAAAAAATTTATGTTAAAATATCTTGAGTCGACATTGGGTCATGTTGTTTTCCTCCTGATGGTGGGAGATGTCGTTTATTTCTCTTGATTTTATTTTCTTATTATTAGTAGTGTAGTTTACGTGCGTGCTGTGTCGTTTGTTTCATATTGTGTGCAGTGCAAAAACCCATTCAGAATAACCAGCAATTACACTTAAAAGAAACGTCATCATAAGTAAATCTACACTTCAAGAAGAGCCATTGTGAGTGCCTAAGACAAACATCAATACCAATCACGATAATATCAAAATTTATATAGTGAGCATTATTCATAGCTTAAATGCATATGGTTTAAAATAGCTTGTGTGACAGTGTTTCCTTATCGTAGTGGTGCGCCTCTGAAGATGATTCTTTTGAATCGAAACATGTAAGGTGAACGAGGATTGAAGTGTTGTGAACTTGTATGTCACATTAGACTGAACATTACCCACTCTGTACCACAAATTAAATTTCATTGCGTAATGAAACTAAAAGAAACATCGTAACGCCACTTCGTAGGAAATGGCAGACACGTTAATGTAGAAGACAAGAGGCCTCCAACCCTAATACATCTCCATTTGTCACAAACGGGACAACTTACCTTGACCAACCCGTTGCCGCAGACAGAGTGACGTCCAACTCTACGAACCATACATGTCGCAACACGTGAACTACAGAGCAGAGTTGGCCAGAGAGGGGCGGGGTTCGAAACCGCAGGAACAAGAAATGAGCAGAAAAATTTGACGTCATATCCAACCTTCCTTCCTTTCATCTATGAAGGACAATTACGTTAGGTTCGCCAAATAGTACCGAACTATGTACGGCAGATGTCGAAAGCGCAGTTGGTAACTTTGTAACCTATTACGGCCACATCAATCTTGAAAGTGTTGTTAATATTATGGGCATCGTGTGGCCTCGTAGCTGTGCATGTGCATTTCGGAGGTGCACATTCCCATCATATACAGGATAAAAACGCAGGCATGTGTTTATGCAAAACAATACACATTACCAGGCTCTACTGTGCCATTCCCTAGGCCACAATATGGTTCTTCATTACCANACCGAGTTATTTCCGAGTTAGCCAGCAACCAATCAGTTGTCTTGTGGCATTTGGAGTGTACTAATTGTGATACTGCAGATANATTGATGTTAATTTATGGTGGATGAAACCAGATTATAGATATATATCTTTGTAAATATAATGTTGTATTTTATGTCATACTGCTTATTCTCTACTTCAGCCTTGCAGTCCATAACAAGAAATTCTAGATATCTCTAGTGCTGCCAGTATGGGCACCCTGCGTGGTCCGTCGACTATCCCGACAAAGGTTATTCGTGGTTTTCCTCAACCCCTCAAAGCTAATGCCTAGATAGTACGTCTCTCAGGCCACAATTGCTTCCTTCCAGATCCTTTCCAATTCATCAATCATCCTACCAAACTATGCTATGCAATCCAGATGCTGACAGCACCGTAAAATTTACCCCCAAAAATGTAGGAGGATTCCCAAAACACGCCCTTTGCGTGTCTTTTTGCCCAGGCATGCAGAAGCGAATCGTGATGAAATCTGTCAAGAGATCCCAGCACAAAATCAATGTATTGTACACGTAACCTTGAAGATATTAAAATTTAACTTCCTAGTCTCTTATGTCACATGGTATTCTAACCACACTGGGCAAGATAAACGGATTACTGTGTATCAGACTTTACGAAATTACAACATGATCCATAAATCATTAGTGACACAACATACATTTTCCGTAAATCTGCTACCACCACAGAAATACGCCATCTCGCTTTATAACAAATGCGCGGTGAGCTAAAGGCAGGACTGGACTGAAACGTCGCGAACTCCCAGTATTACTTCATTGAACCGAAGTACATAATTTTATGTGCTCTTCAGGTAAACTGTGGTAAATAACCTCTCCAGCTGGTATACCATCCTTAAATAAGTTGCTAATCAACCAATCTACAAAATATGGGCAAAGAGCTTGATAAAATGTTCAGCAGTTAAAGCATAACGTAAGGGAATATCAGGGAATAGTTCTTTTCTTGTGCCGTCATGAAAGATGCCATCTCCTTCTACTGTGTCTCTGGCATAGCATTTCCTTGCCTTTATCATTTCATATCTCAGCATAGCTGAATACCAGTTGCTACACATGACCTGTCGTTTTATTTATAACTTGTTTTTCAGAAACTACGATGATTCACAGGCACGCGTGCATGGCGTGATGTAGTCACGTGATATCTGCAATAACAAAAGCCGGGTCTAGACTTGTTGCGTATCCCCGTATCGTATCAGTGTGGACGGTACCCCGTATCATCCTTCCGTTGGAAAATGATACGCAACGGACTGTTCGCTCGCTTGGCTGTTTTTCACGTCCCATCAAAGGGACGACTCGGGTTGCAGTGGTGCCAGTCTGGACGTGTAGGCGGCTGCATCGCGCTTTGCTTATCAGCTCCAGACAGTTGGAGTGTAGTCATCACCAGTGTGCGTTCTTCTGTTTGTGATTCTGTTTATATACTCTGAATGGAGTGGAGTAAAGAGAGCATTAAGGAGAAATTTTATCGCGTTGCATCGGTTGATACGCAACAAGTCTGGACGCAAAATTTTGTCGCGTTGCATCGGACGATACGCAACAAGTCTGGACCCGGCTTAACAGTACGGTCTTCCCGTACCATGTCTCTGATGCGAACCACGTTGTTGTCGTTCCGGGAACTCGAAGGCCGGCCTGATCTTGTGGACCTTCCACTGACACCCTGCTAGCCACGAATCGCCTGTGCCACTCAAACACTCGCGCCCGAGATAAAGCTTCATCGCCGTCGGCATCACGCAGAAGCTGCAATGTCTCTGTGGCTGTCTTGCCAGGCTTCGTAAAAAATTTGATGTCAAGTCGCTATTCAAATTGAATGTCCAGTCTTCTTATAGCACAAATCCGCAACTGACAATTGACCTGGGTTTTCCGCCGCGCCCTGCCGCCTAGCGGAGGTCGAGTCACAGTCTTCTGGGATTTGGCGCCGTGTAGATATTGTGTTAACCGACGTTTCGGAGGAACGTATCGCCTCCAGCTTCCGGGTAGAAGAAAAGAGAAAAAATCCGCGGCGTCACGCTGGTTCCTCGCTCGCGGATTTTCTTCTTTTTTCTTCTACCCTGAAGATGGAGGCGATACGTTCCTCCGAAACGTCGGTTGACAATATCTACACGGCGCCACATCCCAGAAGACTGCTTTCTTCATAGTCACCGCCGTGAAGACCTCAAATCTTACAAAAAATTAGCAGCTTCGTAAACTTTTCGCGCCATCTTACGAAACAAATGAATCACTGAAGCGCGTAATAGAACAGCTGACACTAATAATGTATAATGTATAATAATAATGTATGAATGTATAAGGCGTGGGCTAGGTAACCACGCGACAACGCAGATGTGAGAAGACTGGCGTGCTCCGTTGCATGGAGGTTGAGTTTCGTTTCTACAGTTTTTCGGCTAGTTGCGTTGCCGTTTCCTCGATTAGCACTGCTCCATTCAGTAACATGTGTTCAACTCAGAGTGTTAACAATTGTCAGAAATTGCGGTTGCGTTGCAGTTGTCCGTTTTTGGTTTGCCCTCGCCACAACAGTGTAACGAACAACGAAGTTCAGGGTAACGCCGTGGATTGCAGCTGTAAGTGAAGTGGGCCGTAGGAGCAAAGAAAATGAAACCAAGATATCATTCCAGCCCTTTGGAAAGAGGACGCTTGAGCTAGAAATGACAACTGGAGAGAATGAAACCGGAATTCAGGTAATTTTATATGCCAGAAGCCACACACCACACAGTGTAGTAACAGACTGGTATAACTGGTATACAAAAAAACAAAACAAAGACAAACTCCGTAGCTTGAGTCTTCAAGCGAACTATACCGACAGAGTGACCGGCGCTTGTTGGCGAAGTTAGAACTGGTATATATGACTGACAGAATTGTTACAACACCCAGAAATTATAGAAATGCGCTTTCAAGTTCTGTATTTACAATTTCCATCATATAACAAGTTATACAAAGAGGACCTAGCAGACAAGCACAACTTTTTTCCTATTTCTCTTCCCTCTTTCGGACTACATACAGTAGCTGCACAGAACACATGACAAGTTACTTGAGCTCTTAGCTAACATAATACTGATGATAAATGGTTTCTTTCTAAATAACCCATGCAGTTCATCCACTGTGGCAGAGCATGTATTTTGAATGGAATGACGGAGAATACTCTAAGAATGATATATTTTGCATATGTTCATTCATTATTATCTTATGGTATTTTATTATGGGGTAATTCACCACATAGTCTTAGTGTTTTTAAGATGCAAAAACGAATACTCCGTATTATGACTAAGACTAGATGTAGAGACTCTTGTAGACAACTTTTTAAAGATTGGGAAATTTTACCATTTTATTCTCAATATATATTTTCTTTGATGATATTCGTTGTGAGAAATAAGCATCTTTATAAAACTAATCAAGAAATTCATGGTCTAAATACTAGGCACAATACTGACCTTCATTTTCCATCTGCTAGATTAACAATATATAATGAAGGGACATATGCTATTGGAATGAGGATATTTAACCATCTTCCTATAAATATAAAATCATTATCATATAAAATTGAATTGTTTAAACCAGCATTAAAGAGATATCTTTGCTCGTGGTCATTTTATTCATTAGAGGAGTTTTTTAATCAAAATAATTTGTAAATACTGATTGGATGTAAATGGGATTAACTGTATGTTATATTTTTTAATTTTAATTATGTTTATTACTTAGTATTATGTGATATTGTTTTATGATTAATGTTTAATGATTGTGACNTGCAATACTTTTATGTACACATTAGTCACTAGAAAGTTGCAGAACATAGCTCCCATTCCTACAAATACCCAAAATCTATCAAGTCACACAAGAATACATGATCCAAACATCATATACAGAAACACAACCAATGTGCAACAGATATCTGCCCACGTCTCACTGTTACATGTAAGCTACAGGAAAAGAAAGACCATATTGGCCACCCATGCAACACTATAGACCCTCTGCAATTCAACAATACTGGTAATCAGAAAGTTAACAGTGTCCTATCATTCAACAAGCTAGAACCTCTGGAACTGAAGTGTATGCCAGACAAAATAAATACATAAATAACAAATAATTATGCCATGAGCTGATCTCCAAGATATATCATAAATTCCATGTTTTCCAGTTTAGTGATTATGGTTAATATATTTATGATTCAACCATTCCCTTGGGGAGAGAGTAACTGCTTTGTCATGATGGTATCCTTCAAAGCATTCAGCTCATTTACATGCATGCACATCTCCTTTCCCTGTATTGACATGAGATGTTCATCACATTCTGTGCTCAGCATAAGTTTCCACAGATTTTATACTATTTAATAGTATATACATTCATTCATTCATGGCTCAGTTATTGTTTCATAATACTTAATAAGTTTCCTATCAGAAGAACATGAGTTGATGGAGCTTAAAAAGAGTTTGCTGAGAACAATATCTGTACCAGAGAGGGTTGAAATAAAAGGAGTCGGGAGAAAACTATAATGAGGAGATTCACAAGCTGAAATGTTCAACCAACAGAATTAGAGTGATGACATCAATGAGTATGAGGCAGACAGGACATGTGACAGAACTAGGGAGAGAATAGATTTGGTGGGAAAATCACGAGAGAGAGAGACCACAAAGGTGGCTTAGGAATATGTGGGACCAGAACAATAAAACAGATGATACAGGAATATTGAAAGACGGTATGAAGTGGATACTTTTACCTCAGGGCAGACACCATGGCATGTAGATGATGCTATCTGAATTCAGCTGAAATCATATATCTACAAATTTGAGGGGCAAGAACCACAGGTAGAATCACGATAACACAGAGTGCCTTAAAGGGAGCTGGTGTTTACATTTTCATTACAATGTATATGGGAAATTACTACTAACAAAATATCAAGTAAACTCGTGATCACACAGAACATCTTACAGGGATCTTTTGTTCCTTTATCTCTTCAGCTTGAGAAACTCAGAAACTTAACAACTTGTCCTCATCACCAACCACAGCCGCTACCACCACCACCACCACACCTATGTACAGAGATTCCATTTGCATATCATATCTGCATATGCCTATGTTCTGCTCTGATGAATAATGACGTCTACTTAAAATGTGACAAAGTATTGACATTTATTTCCGTGAAAGTTAAATAATTCAGAATATGTTCCAGGTATAAATTAAAACCAGTACTGAATGGTAGTGATGTTTAAGTTCACATAAGTAGTATGTCTTACAGCCTCCCTAGGATGTATGTTATTCATCACAAAATGTCATGGGAAAAATTGCTGACACACGTCATGCAAGAGATTGTACGTCTTTCGAACATATGGTTTTAATTGTTTGAAACAGTCATAGTAGTTAACATGAAATATGATTATTCTGGTGCTTTACAACATCAAGGGAGAATAAATATAGAAGTGTGTTACGGTTCACAAAGACCAGTCCCTGACCATGAGTCACACGCTGAGGAATGTGGATTAATTGAAATTCAGATATGAGCATAGTGTGGGCATGCAACTTTCAAACACATTAACATATCCAGAGCATCTTTATTTTGTAGCCAAGCATTGCCAAGACAGCAGAATTGGTTTCTAATCCGAATAATCAGAGAATGACAATGGGCACGCATCAAGGCAGAAATCATGAAATGTTCAGTGTTTGCCAGCCATGCATAAGGAAAGAACAGGAGCCCACAGTCTCAGGAGAATAAGGAGGTGTTACTTCATAGGTTGGTAGTCAGAGAGACAGAATGGTTATTTCAACTATCATATACAGGGTGATTCACGAAGTTTTACCCCTGCGTATGGTACATATTCCTGGGGTTATTTCCTGCAAAATTTCCTTATAAACTTTTGGTCGATTTTCAGTAGTTATGGAGTAACAATAGATTTTCGAAACGCATCAATGTGAATGCAGCGCTCTGCTCCCCTCCTGGGAGACCTTGCATTCCAGTCATCTGTGTCAGCAGATAAGCTGACCGGCTGGAATTTTGCGCGATCCAGTCAGTAGTGAACAGGACGTGTTGGTGACTTTGTGAAGTTAAGATTGTGTACACATTTTCCACTGAGGAATATGCCGATATGGTGTTTGTTTTGGGTGTATGTGATGGAAATGCGAGACCCGCTGCTGCTGAATATCACCGGTGTTATCCTATTCGCAGGATTCCAAATCCTAAATCCATTTGCAGTACATTCAACACATTAAGACAAACTGGTTCTCTCCCCAGTGTTCGTATACAATACGAACGAAATCCTCAACGTGAATTGTGCGAAGAAGAATCCATTCTCGATGCTATAGAGCACTGTCCGCGTGCCCGTACAAGACGTCTAGCTCGGCTGTTCGGTGTTTCTCAGTCCATGGTGTGGAGGACTCTTCATGAGAACTGGCTGCATCCTTATTTACAGCAGGTACAAAACCTACAACCAGGAGACCGTGCTCTTTGTCTGCTGTTCTGCAAGTGGTTAAATGGAAATCGGCAGTTGTACCACTTGATAATGTTCTGCGATGAGGCACAGTTTACATGGGACAGGGTCAACAACAGTCGCAACTTACATGTTTGGGCAGACGATAATCCCCGTGCCACAACAGAATCGAATTTTCAACACTGATTCAGTCTCAAAGTCTGGTGTGGTGTTCTGTATTATCAGTTAATCGGGCCGTTCATTTTATTGCATTTGGGGCTGGATGAAGGACATTGTGTACAAGGTAAAGGCACAAACACGTGACGTGTTGCTTGAACGTATTCTGGACGCAGCGATGACAATAAGGAACAAACGTGTGGAACTGCGAAAAGCTACGAGCGCGGATCATACACATGCGACGCGTTGTGTTGACGTGCAGGGAGGAATTTTTGAAAATCTTATGTAAATCCAGTCATCTTATAAAGCACGACAGTTTAAAGGAAACAGATTGATAGAAGGGTGTGATATGCAACCATTGGTATGTTTACAAAATGGGATCCTGAAAATAATGTAATTTTGTAACATAAAATCGATGAAAAAGTTGCACAAATCAAAATTAAGAAATTGAAAAAAAAATTGGTTTTAGAATGCTTCTTTCCTATAACATTAATGATTTAAAAAGTGTTTGTATTGTATTTCTAATTTCTTTGACCGAAATTTGAAGAAAAAAACATTTTTTGCCAGTTTTCAAATTACTCTATCTCTTTAATTATGAGTTGAATTCCATTAGTATATTAACATTTTTTGTTCCAAATTACCTCAGAAATGCCTTCACTAGTTAGTTAGTTAGTTAGTTAGTTAGTTATTGGAGAGGGTGGGTTTCCCCATGCACTTAGACCTGTATTGGTCCATTGTGCTTCCCTCTATGATTTCTACCAGTCTCTATATCCTACCGTACTGGTGCTTACCATCAGTCCCACCCAGCCAGCGAGACCAGCTCTACTAGCTGAGAGGTATCTATAATGCTTCCCCCATCAACCAGACGTATTAGAGATTGCTGTTGGGCGGGAAACATCCGTAAATTTGGCTCAGTGACCTTCTTTGGAGATATGAGGTTCTTTTACCTGCCGTAAAGCTACGACACGGGACCCACGGCTTAAAGTCCCTCCCGGAGGACTTGTTCCCTGAATTTTTCCGCCCTTAAAAATTCCACGACCTCCGCCAGCTATTTGAACTCGCGTACAAGTCATGAGGTGGGAACGTTACCTCTAGACTACGGAGGCCGCTAATACCTTCCCTAACTGGGGGTAAAACTTCGTGAATCATCCTGTATAGGAATTTCCACAAAATAAATTCCATACCTGACTTGAAAGTCATTTTCTTATGTGATACTCATGAACATCTAACAGCAGATGCTTACAACTTACATAGTTCAGAAATTTATGAAAAGAAACGTTTCCCTGAAAGAAAATCGTGTGACACACCCAACACATGACATTATATTAGGAACATTGTGGAAAGATCCTCTATACTTCATACTGGATATACAGCATTAACACAGTAACATGATGTGCATGTATAAAATTGTGACTGGTAAATAACAGCATTTTCGGCATCGTAGATATTGCATATATTGCATATCGGCATATATTGCTTGTATTCATAGTACCAGTACATCAGTCAGTGGTCCTTTTTCAGGGCCACTATCCATGGCATGATGAGACATGTAAGGATGAATGCAAACACGATGGAAATCACACATGTATCTTTACAGAGTGTGTCGGGGAAATGCAAGGAGACGAGAGCACCCTGGAGCCTCAAGTCAACTGAGACACATGAGAGTCTTGTCTTTGAGATGGGCTGGCAATGGCTCAACTTGAAGCAGAAGAAACAAATGAAGACTGCAATGAAGTGCAACAACGCGTTAAAGGCGATTGTTAGCTGAAGAAATTATACAATTTATTGTGTGTCTATATAATTGTGGAAGTTAATTGTTAATTAACCGCAAATTAAAAAACCTGCAACTCAGTTTTTAGTGTGATACATGACAGCACCTGAGACTGAGACCTTTTCACTTTAATTTCACTAACAGAATCCAGCTGTTTGTTTACTCAAACACCCACTGGTTCACACGCATCTCACTCTTCTTCCTTGCTTGGACTAGTCTCTCTCTAGCTCTTCTGCTGCAGTTATCTTACGGCTTCCGTCTTCTATTTACACCTCCACTTCATAAAATATTAACTTCACTGTACCTTCTGGGAACACTCGGAATGGAAGAGTCCTCTCTCTTTCAGCTTGTGAGTTGATCCTCAGATTTGATATACTGTGTCATAATTGCTATATTCTTTCTTTAATAGGAGCATAGGAATGAGTTTCTTTGTCTCAATCTCTCTATACTTAAGTCATTTCCAGCATGTAAGCACAACTGTGTAGTAATATAGTCAGTGATGGTCCCCTTAGTATCATCCTCCTCCCAGATACAAGAGGGTTATCTAAATTTGCATTCTTAATTTTTTCTTCCTTGCAGATGAAACAGCTATTGAAAAGCTGCTTGCGAGAATCCAGTTTCACGCCCTTCATCATGGAAGCCTTCATTCGGTGAGCAGTGCGGCTTGTGAACTCCAGGAGATTCCATGTTCAGACGTTGCCTTAGAGATGGGTACCGAATCCTTCGGTGGCTGAGTATGTCTGGTGACGGTGAGTTGCTCCTGTTGCATGCACACGATCCCAGTTTTAAGGCGCTGGGAAGTCGCCCTCATCCTCTCCCGTCTGCTACAACTTAGAGTTGCATTGCCCAGGGATCACGTAGCTATAGCCATCTTGGACGTGGGAGTAGGGTTTGCTGGTAGAGCTGACCACTCTTGTGTCAGTAGGCATTCCTCAGGATTTATGAAATTCCCCTGAGACCTTTGCCAGCCTTTGATCCCCAAAAATGTGTTTTTCTGTGATTATGGAGCTAACTCCATAGCGTACTTGACAGTTGTAAACACCCCGCATGGTTCCATGACCCAGTGGCTAAACTGCCGTTCCTCAGGAGCGCCCCTCACAGAAATATATGTGTACTCTCTTAGCCATTGTGCGGCTAGCTAGTCTACTAACTTATACCAATTTATTTTATGATATGGAATCGGTGGCTGATCCCCCCACCCCCACCCCACTCCTACAGTCCATATGTCCGTGGCGTCAGTGCGTGCTTCATCTACAGCACATTATACGTCTAGTGATCATTTTCTTTATGAAGTCATGGAGGAATTATGTCCCCCTGTCTGTCCGTATGGCGTCTAGGACGTCCCCAGTCGCACGATCACTTTCTTTAGGATGTCGGTGTAATCAGGTCATCGCGTCTGTCCGCATGCTGTCCTCGGCAGGTTGTCGAGCATGTGACAGTCCTCTTTCTTCTTGCTCCATCATCTTGATCTTACTTAACTCATCCATTTGGGCCGCATCAGTAAATGTCTCATTTTGTTTCTTCCCAGTGTTGTCTCCTCGACAATCACCTCTTTCCCTTCCACTTTGACTCTTCATAGGTTTCATTCCTGTATTTCTCTCTGCTTTCTGTCCACTGTTGAAATCTGCTCTCATTCTGCTGCTCCCAATCCGTTAATTCATTCATATTCTGCACACGTCTTCACATCCGTGAAATGA